CAAATCCTCGCTGCTCCCTTCTTCTCCTTCTCACAGTCCTTTCAATTTCTGGGTCAAGAAGGAATAACTCAGGTCTTGCATACAAGATGTTCCCAAAGACCTGCCAAAAATCAGAAACTCTGATGAAAATGAACAAAAATACTTGAATAGTAAATTACTTTAACAATAAGATTCAAATAAGACAGTTCCCGGCAACGGCGCCAAAAACTTGTTGCCTAAAATTGTGGATCTAGAATCTCGCAAGTGCACGAGTCAACAAGTAGTAAAATGATGAATAATCAAGTATCGTCCCACAGGGACTGTGTGTTTTTAAAATCAAATTGTTAAGTTAATTCTATCCAAGTTTTTAAACAAAGACTAAAAGTGATTTTTAAGGTGTTAAAACTAATGATAACTTGACTATAGAAATGAACAACAAAAACAAAACTAATTAATAAAGAGTTTGCAAATAAAATTGGCCAATGTCACTGTTCGCGGCTTAAAATTATTAAACTGTCTTTTATCACGCTGCGCGTTGCTGCAGCAATGGACAGCAATGAAAACTTCTAGTTAACCGGATTCTACTAAACCAAGGACTTTCCAATCCGCTGTCTACTAATCTTAAAGCTAAATCTCACAAATCCCTCTGCAAATCTAGACTCTAAAATCAGAGAATGAAGCTCTAAATCGTATGGTTATGCAAGACATAATATATTCCTATATCATGTGGATCAAAAATATGTAACAAGATCTAAGAACTTGCATTACACAAGTTATTTCCACTCAACTAAATCTTCCCAGATCTAATCAAGCTGTACTCCCCTCTTATGATTTCCCAATCACAGTTAAGGCACAAATTCAGCTCACTTGAATAAACAAAGAAATAATCATCAAATCCATTCAACATCAACTAGCAACTTAATATTTAACAAATCAACAACCTCAGCCAACAAATCATAATCTCATAGAAATATATTTATGAATTCAAGTTCAGATTCAAGAAGAAGAGTAAATATTCTTTAACAAGAAAAACAAAGTAATGAGAATAAGAAAGACTAAAATGATGATGAGAGAATCCGAATCCCCCTTTTCCAAGGTTTCCTCTAGCTGCTCTTGCATCAACAGATGGTCCTTCACGTTTAAATCTCTGTGACGTTTTCTTCTTCTTCCTCCTCAGTACTGGAAATGGTACTTGATCAGAAAAATGGAGGTGGTTTCCTTTTCCAAGTTCAGCCGCCTCTGCGTTCAAAAATATGACCAAGGACACCTTCTTCTCTTGCAGCTGCAGGTACTTATTGTACCCTAATTACACGTGGCAGCCCCTGAGGAAGCCTCCAATCAGCAGCTAAATCAGCACCCTTCACGGGTAAATCAGCCCATTCTTCCAGCTCAGGTACAGCACATGCACGTCTGGCCCAGCTCGCCTTGCTGCAGTAATGCACAGCAATGCTGACTAGGATTTCCTTGAAAATTCCAAAACGACAAGTTGTTGCTAGCCTCCAAGACGACAATGCTTTCTCAAAGCTGAAAATAATCACAACATGCACCCGGATTAGCTCTTTTTAAGCGCCAAACACAAGAGAGAGAATTCATGAAACATAACTAACTAAAAACTAGAAACAAGACAAAATAAAGGATAAAACTAAAACTAATTACCCTCTAGGTAATAATTTAAGCCTGGGAAATGCTCAATTAACTCTATTTTCATAGAGTTATCAAGTGCCTATGCATTTTAAGTTTCATCTCATCCATAACAAAGTAGGAATGTCAATTAGGTCGGGCCGCCCATCGAGCACGATGACATGGCACAAAAGATTTTGAGTGGGGCATGGCTTGACACGAGATTTTTATGGGCCTTGCTAAGCACGACACTAGGTGGTAGGCCGTGTTGGGCTCATAATTTTAAGCACGCGGGTCTAGTACGGTACGACACGACGGCAATCACGAGCACGGTACGGTGCATCGAGCATGATGGACTGGCACGATGCATATAATTTTTTTTAAATAACTTTACGTTATTGTTACAATTTACATATTTGTAAATAATTAAAAAACTATATATATGCATAAACAAATTAAAATTGATTCATTTGACTTTTAAAAGAATCAAATGATTTGCATTAATTTTCATCATTTTAACGATGGCGACAATTAAAAAAAATATTATAATTCGTTAATAATATCATATCTTGATAAAATACACCCTTGATATATTAATAAATTAATAAAGCATTCCTTGATAAATTATAGTCATTGGTAATGGGTATGTTTATTGCAAATTAAAATGGTTATGTTTATTGCTTTCGCTTTTTTTTTTCTTAAATTATATTTTCATTTGAATTATTTTTTATTTTAAACTGTTAAAAAAAATAATTTTAGGTGACTCCATGGTTTAATGGACCGGCTTAAAGATCTATTGTGCCAAGCACGATAAAGACACGAGCACAGCACGGGCACGAGCATGGCACGGACACAGGCACGGACACAGGCACGGGCACAAACATGGCACGTATATGAGCACGTGTAGGCTTGGGCCCATAGACCGGGCCGGTAAATCTAGGGTTGGCACGAGCACATCACAAAGTCTTGGTGAGCCATACCAAGCATATTACGAAGCATGTATAAGCTTAACCGATCATGGGCACAATTGACATCACTATAACAAAGTACTTTTTTATTTTTTAAAGTTAGAAATTTGACCTAACAACAATTTTAAAGTGGAGGTCTTCAATTTGAATACTCCACATTGAAGTTCAAGGTATATATATATATATATATTAGGATTACAAGTAAATTTATTTTAGAATAATCAACTACTATTATTATTATTATTGGTTTCTTTTGAGCTACAAAGTAGGGTAGGGATAGGGTCAACATGTGTAGTCCCTATACTTTTTAATGTAAAACCATAACACTAATAATGATATGTAGAGAGAGTGTGTGGGGAGGTACATGTGTGAATTAAGAAAGGAGGTTGGAAAAGGGGAAAGA